CGATGGCACCATGCAGAGGACAAGAAGTGTGACCTTAGGAGGAAAGAACCTTTGTTGCGAGAAAGAGAATGGCCGGGCATACAGAGAGTTCTGCTACAAGAGCGGGCTGGCAGTGGTAACTACATTCTACGAGCATGGGCCCACCTTCTACGGCCCCAAAGGGCAAGAGTCACACATTGATCACGTGGCTGTCCCTATCGGGGCCATCCCGCTTGTCTCTCAGTGCAGCTGCCTATATAGAGCAGCAAAAAACTCCATATGATCCCAGATAGAAGGTTCAGGGACCACATCCCGATAGGTATACACGTGGAGATGTCAGTCACCAACCACGGGTACCCGGCAGGTGACAATGACAAGATAGATCGGGGGTGCTTGATGAGGTGCCTGCAGAAAGGCTACAGAAGAGAAGAGCTGTTCACAAAGATAGATGAACAGATAAAAAAAAGGTACCTATAGATATCTGGGAGCAGCTGTATTCGAAGAAGTCCCCTGATTTCTTATGGAAAAAGTACGTGGAGTGTGTGAACGCGGCGTTGCACGGCACGTTCAAGCAGGGCGCGCGCAGCAATGACAGCACATACAGCATGATGCGTACGAGGAGGATGCAACTACTGGAGGAGAGGAGGCAGCACAGAGAAGGACTACACGAGGAAGGCACAGAGGCTAGCAGGATGGAGGTGGAGAAAGAACTAAACAAGAGTGACAGCAGCACTGAAGGAGCTGAGAGAAGCACACGTAGCAGCAGAGCGAGAAGGTATCGTTCGAGAGACCTGGGAGGCATACAAGGAGAACAGATTCGCTGACACGCATAGACTCAGGGTAGAGTATCAGCGGAACGGGCGGGGCCAAAGAAGAGGTTCTACTTCAGCCACCGTTGTCACTGGCCAGGCGAGCAGTGGAGAGAGGAGCTAGGTCGTGACCCGCATGAAGGAGGGTTAGCGTGCACCCCGCTCGATTGGGAACAGACTAGGCAGGACTATGCAAACGACTGCGAGCTGGACGATGGTGACTTCCCATTCCTCCCCTCGGACGGTGATCTTAAAGCCAGGGTGCAGAAAGATCCTTGGGCCATGAAATCGTACTGCAGAAAGGCCAAAAACAACGACGAGCATATCCAGAGTGGGGCCTTCCTGTTGAAATCATGTGGATGCTGATTGAGCCAAGTGTTAACTTGTCTGGACCAACCGAGCAAACGAAGAGACTAGAAGCTAAGAGGATAAGAGAAGCTGAGAAAGAGGAAGATGAGGAGGAGCTTGAGAAGCACAGCACGCACTTCATCCTAGCCAAAGGACGAAAGATCCTACAGAAGTTAGGTTGGAACCCAGGAGAAACAGCAGGAGCACGCCAGCGAGCAGCAGAAGAGCCAGCACAAGAAATTATTGTGGACCCCCACTGGCAGTTTGGCAGAACGGAACTACCGGGAGTTGGAATGCCTCTATTCAAAGAAGTAGAGTACGAGGCACCGAAGAAGTTGCTGAAGATTATGGGGCACTTCAGACAATGCCAGACTATGCCACTAGACATGCTACGATCGCACAGCTTTGCAGCAGAGAAAGCGAATAAGAAGATAGGAATAGCGGGGAAGCGCATCCTGCACGCATACTGCGCAGCTGGCATGGCATGGCACAGTGGGATACACAGAAGGGCGCTGCCTATTGCTCGACCTCGCTTTGCACACGGAGGGCTAGCGCATAGGTCACGGGAGAATGCAGTGCTAGTACTGCTGGCCACGAAGTGGAGATGTGAACAGGCAGGGAGATCGCTTATCATGAGCAACTTTGACTGCACAAACGCATTTGCGTCGACCGACAGAGCGTTACTCCGAGAACAAATAGATCGCACCACCGAGGAGCATGACATCCCGTATGCCTACGAAGCGCTGGAGCACACTGCGTTGTCCCTACAGGCAGCCGACGAAAGAGTTGACCTGAAAAGCAACAAAGGGGGCCCAGATGGGCTTCACGCTGGCTCCGCGTGACTTTAACGATAGCTACACCCCAATCGTCACAGGCTGGCTAGAGGGAGAGAGAGAACAGGAAGGACAGCAGGTGAACGATACTCAGCACCCCACAAATGAGCAGTACTACGACTTGAGCATTAGCACCTTCATGGATGATATTGCTAAGATTACGATGCTACCTTTCGCAGCAAGAAAAAAAGAAGTGGTAGAGCAGCTGAACCTGGTAAGTGGTAGACTTGAGGGGGGCACTAACAGCAGGAAGCTGGCGCCTCAACCCTGACAAGACAAACCACCTTCTAGTCTTACGAGGTGAACGAAGCTACCAATGCACTCGGGCACTGAGGAAGCAGACGAGTGGACTCAGGGGAGAAGCCTTGCGAGAGATGAGAGTGTTAGGGCCCTACGCACCTTCGGACCAGGGACTAGGAAACGAGATAAGGAGACGCTGCGACGCAGCAAGAGCAGCATGGAGACAGTGTAGCACGTTCTGTCTGGTCGTCCAAGACCTCGAAGGTTATCAAGCGTAGCATGCTCATGGCATTTATTGTGGGTGCAGCATTGAGCGGGTTATCATGTTTCGTGATAAGTAAGAAGTGCACAGATGCGATCGACACTACTTTGTGCAAGCTACTCAGGTACTTGTCGAGGGGAAAGAACAGTTGGACTGATGCGCAAGGGAGGAAGAGGACAACGACGTTGGAGGAGGTGTTCAGGGAATGGAGGATCAACAGGAGCGCAGACGAGCTGAGAGTCAGAAGATTAAAGTGGTACAAGCGCTGGTCGCAATTCCCGAACGACCACGAGGCAGTCATATAAGCAGTATTCGGCACGTCTAAGAGTGACCAGAGCATAGGGATAAAGCGCACCAATGAGCACAATAATGTTAGACAGCCCACTCCGTGGGCCAAGCAGTATTTGGAGGACATGCGCTACCTAGCTATTCATGACGAAGAATTTAAAGAGTGGTACGATAAACGGTCGAGCGGCATGAGTTTATTTACAGAAGGAACTGAAGAAAAAGAGACGTGGCTTAAGACGGACCCTTCAGTGTTGAATAGCAGTGCTAGAGAATGGAAACAAAGTAGACCACAGACCGAAACCAAAGAGCCCGAAACAGAAAACCCAGCAGAACTGGATAAAAGATTTTGGTGTGACTTTAAGAGCGTGAACTCGGAGGGGGCAGACGTAGCGTGCGGATGTAGATTTCGGACAGCAGCGGCACTGGCAGCACACAGGAGAGTGCAGCACAAGATAAAGCCGCGCATACCTAAGCTTGTGATCACGAACCAGTGCCCGTGGTGCAGATCGGTATTTTTTTCCAGCAAGAGAGTTGCAACAGATCATGCAGCAAGAGCGGCAGATGGGAACGGGCATTTGCTACATTGCGTTCTCGAAGTGGGAACACAGGCTGATAGAAGTAAGAGAGGGCGAGTTGATCTGTAGTGTTTGCCAGTACACTTGCCACCATCCTGGACCGCACACAGTACGGTTTGGCAGAGATGAGAGTGTCCTGGGCGTCGGCGAAGAAGAAGAGGGCGGTGGAAGGGGCCAGCGGAGCGGACAGCAGCAGTGGGGGCCAGCAGCTATCTGGGAAAGGAGGAGGTGGCAGGGGGCACAGGCAAGTGAGAGCAGACTTGGTCACTGTCCAGAAGTTAACCCTCCGCGTAGCGGCAGGGCAGAGAGACATGGCCAACATGTGCACCGAGCTCTGGATCCTTCCTCGCACAGCCTCAGTCGTACGAGAAGGTTTCGAGGCTGGTCAGGGGTACCACCAGGCAGTCAAAGAAGCGGGAAAGGGACACGAGCTGGGCCCCCCCCCACGTGCACATAGCGGCGGGGGTGGTCGGGTCGATGCACGACGCGTTCGGGGACGAGGGGACCGAGGGAGAAGCCAAGAAAGTACTCGCGTCTTGGATGGAAGCAGCAGGCCCAGGGGAATACGGGAAAGCATACGTGGACGAGTGTTTCAGGATGTTCCGTTTGCGGGAGTGCTACAGCCCAGACGGAGCGCCAGAGCAGGACCGCAAGGCAAAACTTCCGTACTCGCTCAACATGAGCCCCGACCTCAGGACGGTGATCCACCTGGCCACGGGACCCCCAGCACAAGTGCTCACGGTAGACATGAGATCCTTCCAGAGCGCCTTCACCTTGGGGTTGATCAAAGCGGGGGGAACCAAGCCGACGGGAGCGGGACCCAGGACGGAGTTGGAGAGGACAGTGGAGCGCCAGCTGAGGAATTTCCAGAGAGTGTGATGCAGCACGCGCGCGTACTGGCCCGTGATCCTCGGAAGCTCGCGAATCTCTACAGGATGCGGGACAACGGGGTGCAGAGAGTCGGGCAGCTAGTCAGAGCAGTAGAATTCGTTAGGCGTCAGATGTCCCAACAGTGGCAATCTACGTATTTAAGTGGACAGTGATTTTTTACTGATGACGCACAGTACCACAGGAAAGGAGAGAGAAGGGAGAGATGTTGTTGAGTGTAGCCGTCTCGATCGAGCTGCAGGGGGACCGCACAGAGCAGTTGATATTGTGATTGCTTGTATTGCTGTGAGCCATGGCGTCTGGACCAGCACCCTCCGCGGGAACGACTGCAGCGGGGGCTGCGCCGACTGTTGCTACGGGTGCAAATGCAGTGCCAGTCCCACGTCAGCCGACAGGACCCCCTCCTGGACCGATTCGCTCGAAGGCAGCCCCGACCCGCAGGAATCAGAATGACGACCTGGGGAGAGTGCATGCAGCGCAGCAGGCCCACCTCTTGACGGGCCGCATCCTGCGCGATCACTATTCTATCATACTGGGGCCGTGCAGTCTCTTGAACAGCCAGCTCAATTACATCCAGCTCCAAGGGATAATATCATGTCACCAGTCGTGAATGACACGCATCTCGAGGCTGACTGCGTCACCACGCGTCGCAACCTAGACAGTCCGATAAGCTACCTGAGGGACGAGCTGGATCGTCTGCATGAGTGCATAAGGATGCTAGATGAGTCTGACTACGGAGTGCAGCGTTTCGACTGGGAGATCTCGAGGCCGAGTGGGAGCAGTGAGCGGGATGAGGGGCAGTAGATAGAGCCAGCACGTACTGCTTCCCCTCCCTCCGAGAGCCTGCTGCTGCCGATCGCCTCCCCCCCTCCCCTCCGAATGGGCTGGGCCACCGCCGACCCGCACGAGCTGCTGCTGTATGTGTACAGCCAGCAGGACAGCCCTTGGACGCGGGCGGGGGAGGTGGAGGCAGGCTTCAGTCAACACGTCTCGATCTGAGTTTTTTCCTTTTTTTTTCCTCCCAGGCCTCACGAGGCCAGAGGTTCAGCAGTACGGGGTGTGTGGCTCGCCCCATGAAGGGGTAACCACACACACACACACACCCCGAGTTTTGAGGTTTAAAAGTGCGACGGGAGCCTCTGCCGGAACGGCAGCGCTTGCAGCGAGAGGCTGCGGCGTTCGCCGTAGGCGGCAGGGGAGGGACAGGCACACGTCTCATCCTTGTATGCTTCCATATCTTCCCTAGGGCCCTAGGGGCCCGACGTGCTGCAAGCGGATCGGACATGGCCCCCAACGGCTCCACCACCACCACCACCCTCCTCCTTCTCCTCCTCCACCTCCTCCTCCTCTTCCTCGTCCTCCCTCCCTTCTCCCTCCTCCCTCCTCCACCCTCCTCCCCCCTCCTCCTCCTCCTCCTCCTCCTCCTCCTCCTCCTCCAGCGGCCGAGTGTCGTTGGAGTCTCCTCCCGGCGGGCGCTGCCGACGAGCGGCGCGCCCGCGGGAGGTGGCAGCCCCGCGGGCCCCTCTCCGCCAGTGAGTGCGGCGCGCCAGGCTGCAAGGCGGCACGGGGCGGACCCCGTGGAAGCGGAGTCTGGGCGACCTCCCTCACCCTCCGGATCCTGCTGCCGATCCTCCTGCGTTCCCCCTCCTCCTTCTGTTTCCCCCCCCTTCCGCATCCCTCCCTCCCTCCTTCCCCTCCTTTCTCCTCCTCTCTTTCCCGCCCGTCCGCATCCCTGCCTTCCCTGTCCTCCTCCTCCTCCTCCTCCTCCTCCTCCTCCTCCTCCTCCTCCTCCTCCTCCTCCTCCTCCTCTTCCCGCCTGCTCTTCCCCCTGTGGTCGACGCCTGTCGGCGGAGAGAGCAAGCTCCTGCTTCCTCTTCCTCCTGCTCCTCCTCATCACCACCATCAGCGTCAGCTGCTTGACCTCCGAACAACTTCATCTTCTGAGCAGCAGCAGATGAACCGCGATTGAGTTTGAACTGCCTTTGCACTTGTACACCTGGCGGCCCCGTCCCGTGGCTGTCACCACGGCGCGGCAAACATAACAGAACACCTGTGCAAGGGCCGTTGAGAACGAAGACAGGAAGAGGAGGAGGAGGAGGGGGAGGAGGAGGGGATGGTGGACTGAACCCATCAGGATGTCTCTGCATCTGCAGCAAAATAAGCCCGCTCTATCAGCTGATGCAGCTCCGAGAAACTCCTTCTTCTGAGCAGCAGCAGATGAATCGCGATTGAGTTTGTCCTGCCCTTACACGTGCACACCTTGCGGCCCCGTCCCGGGGCTGTCACCACGGCGGGCAGAGAAAACATACCACCAATGAGCCTCTCGCAGCTTAGAACAGGGGGGATAAGAGGGAAGAGGACACGTGTATGTCTATATTTGGCTCTCCCAAGAGAGCCTACTCCCCTCTTGCAGCCCGCCCTCGAACACCGCGACGTGCCGCTCGGCCACGCAGCCGATCAGCATGGACATGAACACCACCGAGGAAGCGGCCCCCCCCCGCACGAGGGGCCCCGCCGCCATGAGGTCTGCAGACAACGGTATTACACCAAGGGGCCACGGAGCCTTTGGAGGTTTGAAGCGTCCTCGGCCACAACGGCCACGGGGGGAGGGGCGCCTGTCAGGAGCGCCAAGCACAGCCGTATCCGCGCCGTGGCGTTCTGGATTCCGGGGCGCGATCCAGCGGGCACGTGGTCGCACGGATACGTTCCACGCGGGGCATCCGCCGAAACACGCCCCGTATCCGCGGGGGTGCGGCCCAGGGGCCCGGCCCGCGAGGCCGCGGACACGGATCTGCTGTTCGCCCCACCGCTCTCCACTCGGGCCCCAGAGTCGTTGGCGAAAAGCAGATCCGTATCCGCGGCCTCGCGGGCCGGGCCCCTGGGCCGCGCCCCTCGGATCGTTACGACGACAGGTACGAGAACGAGCAGAGCGAAGATCGAAGAGGAGGGATACGGGACTGTGGACTGCGCATGGTCGTCCAGAAACGGCTGGGCGGTGGCGCCATGGCACCGACAATGTTGTCACGAGTAGCCAGCTGGCCGAAACACTCGATTGAGGAGGGAAGCGGAGGAGGAGGAGGAAAATAAGGAGCTTCTTGGAAAGCTTCTGGGGGCCTTTGTGGTCAACTTGGGCCTGGGGTCCCTTTCGTGCGATCGTGTTGCGTCTGTGTGTGTGTGGTGTGGAGGGGGGGCGTGCGTGTGCGTGTGTGTGTGTGGGTGTGTGGGTGTGTGGGTGTGTTGGCGTGTGAGTGTGTGTGTGTGAGTGTGTGAGTGCGTGAGTGCGTGAGTGTGCGAGTGTGTGAGTGTGTGAGTGTGTGAGTGAGTGAGTGTATGAGAGTGTGAGTGTGTGAGCGCGTGAGTGTGTGAGTGTGTGAGTGTGTGAGGGTGTGTGAGAGTGTGTGAGTGTGTGAGAGTGTGAGTGTGTGTGAGCGTGTGGGTGTGTGTAGGTGTGTGTGTGTGTGTGTGTGCGAGTGTGTGAGGGTGTGGGAGAGTGTGTATGTCAATGTGTGTGTGTGTGTGGGAGAGTGTGTGAGTGTGTGAGTGTGTGAGTGTGTGAGTGTGTGAGTGTGTGAGTGCGTGAGTGTGCGAGTGTGTGGCTGTGTGAGCGTGTGAGAGTATGTTAGTGTGTGTATGAGTGTGTGTGTGAGTGTGTGAGTGTGTGAGTGTGTGAGTGTGTGAGAGTGCGAGAGTGTGAGAGTGTGAGAGCGTGAGAATGTGAGAGTGTGAGGGTGTGTGAGAGTGTGTGTGTGTGCGTGCGTGTGAGTGTGTGTTTGTGTGAGTGTGTGTGTGTGTCTTTGTGATTTGTGTGCGTGTGTGTCTGTGTGAGTGTGTGTGTGTGTGTGCGTGTGTGCATGCGTGCGTGCGTGCGTGCGTGCGTGCGTGCGTGGGTGGGCGTACATGTGCGTGTGCGTGTGCGTGTGCGTGTGCGTGTGCGTGTGCGTGTGTGTGTGTGTGTGTGTGTGTTGTGTTTGTATGTGTGTGTGTGTTGGGGGGGAAAGGGGGGCGTGTATGTGCGTGCGTGTGCGTGCGCGCGTGTGCGCCAATTCCCAGCGGCGCAAGCGGCGGCGGGAAGGAATGAAGAGCATCAATGGCACACTGTCTTTGGGAACCCATCAGTGTGTTACTCCCTCGTCTTAGCCGAAGGCCTGGTGCTTCTTCAGCAGCAACAAGCTAACAAGCTGATGGGTTCCCCACAGCGGCGTGTCATTGATGCTGCTGTGCGTGGCAGCGCGCGCATGGGGGCAGGGCGAGGGGGAAAGGCTTCTTAGAAGGAGGCTGCTTCTTAGAAGGCCTGGCCCTAACTCCACAGACAAGGCCCGCGAGTTCTAAGAAACAGGGGTGGTTCTAAGAAGCCTCCCCCTCTCCCCCTTTATGCCCCCTCCACGCTCGGCGGAACAATGCCTCGTGGAGCGACTTCCCGAGAGACCCTCTGCAGCGCGGGCAGCTTTCGACACGGACTTTTTCGAGGCAGTCCACAGGATGAGGGGGGACACGATCGGGGGGGCCTTGGCTCAAGGGGGGGGGCATCGAGCCTGAATCGGCGATACATCGCCGATAGATCTGCGACAGGCTCACGATAGCGAATCCGCACGTTCCTGGGAAGGGGATATCTATCAGGCCTCTAGTGGCGACGGAAGGGCGACAGGGGATCGACGCGTTCCCCCCTCAGACCTATCCCTCCCAATGTTGCCAATGATAGGGCCTGGCTTCGGATTCCCAGACCTCCGACGTCGTGTTTTTTGGCTCGTGCTCCCCAGTGGGTCTCGGCCGTTTCCCCAGGACCAGCCCCAGGACCAGCTTCCTAATCACCATGGGTTCCTTTGTTGACGGTCCCGCAGCCACGCAAGGGAGCTCCTGGCGGCCGTCCGGGACGACTCGGGCACCCCTGCAATGCTCTCGACGAGGCACAGCTGCTGAAGAGCACCGCGAGGCATGAATTAACCCAAGGAGCCGACGACGCGCCCGAACACGTCCGTCCGAAAACGCTCGACGATCCCCCCCCCCTCGAAAGCAGAATATTCCCACAAATCTCGAGAAGGGGATCGACTGGATTCATACCCCAAAAGTGATTCCCCGACGAATCTGCGAAGCAATGCGTATCCGTCACAGTGCCGCGAGACGCGAAGCGGAGTTTTCTCCAGGTCCTCATGCGTCCTCTGTTCTCTGTGCTCAGGACACTGGGATTTTGCTATTCTACGGGGTGGGTTGCCCAACATCCCAAATATTCCCAGCATTCCCGCGCGCTCTCGAGCGCTCTTGGGCTCGGTCGCATGGACTTTCCAGAGGCCACAGGGCCCCAAGACAGGCCAGGAGTGCCACAAGATTCGATTCGCCCAGGAAGTCTCCAAGACAGCCCAAGAGCGCTCCAGGACGCCCAAGATGGCCCAAAGACGGCCCAAGAGGCCCCAAAGAAGCCCCCAGAGCGCTCCAAGAGGACCCCCCAGAGGGCTCAAAGAGGCAAACATCATTGATTTGCTGTGTGGTGTTCCAATGTTGTTCGCGTCCTCACGTATTCAAACTTCCAACCCTCCAAGATGGTTCCAAGGACCCCCAACACCGCCCCAAGACGGCCCACCAAACCCCCAAAAGGGCCCCAAGACGTTCTAAGGAGGCCCCAAAACGGCCCCAGGGGCGCCCAAAATCGCCCAAGAGGGCCCCAAGACGGCCCCAAGAGAGGCCCAAGAGGGGGAACACGAACCGACAATTCGAGCCTTCCACTCCAAGAAGCCCCAGGGGGCCCCCAAGAAAGCTCAAGAGGCCCCCAAGAGGCCCACAAATAGGCCCCAAGAGGTACCCAAACGGCCCCCAAGAGGCCTCAACACTGTCTCCAAGAGGCCCGCGCGAGGCATCCCACGATATCCAAACGAACATCCAAGAGACCTCCAACCCAAAACCCAGGCACGGTGGCGAAATGGGCCGAAGGCCGCTAGATCCGCCGCCCCCTGTGGTCTTGCCACAGGGGTGCACGGCGTGCTGGATGTTTCAGGTTTTGGTTTTGGTTCTTTTTCTAAAAGAACTCCCCAGTGGGCTTCGGCCCGTCCCGCCGGCCACCCGCAAGTTTCCGAAAATCCATCTGTCAATGCCTTTGTTGCCCCAACTTGGCCCAAGATGGCCTCCAAGACGGCCAAGATGGCCCAAGATGGCCTCCAAGATGCTTCCAAGACGGCCAAGATGGCCTCCAAGACGGGTAAGATGGCTCCACGATGCACCCAAGACGGCCCAAGATGGCCTCAAGATGGTCTAAGACGGCCCAAAAGGCCCGCAAAAGGCCTCCAAGACGGCCCAAGAGCCCTCCAAGACGCCCTCCAGGAAGGCCCGAATAGGTTAAAATCATTGATTTTCCTTAGGTTTTTCAAGGATTTTGGCATGTTCTTCTTTTCAGCTCTCCGACGGCCCCAGACGGCCCAAGAGGTCCCCAACATCGCCCCAACAGCACCCAAGAGGCCTCCAAGATGGCCCCATGACGGCCCAAGAGGCCCCCAAGAAGGCCCCAAGAGGGCCTCAAGACGGCCCAAGAGGCCTCCAAGACGCCCAAGATGGCCTCCAAGACGGCCAAGATGGCCCAAGATGGCCTCCAAGATGCCTCCAAGACGGCCAAGATGGCCTCCAAGACGGGTAAGATGGCTCCAAGATGCACCCAAGACGGTCCAAGATGGCCTCAAGATGGTCTAAGACGGCCCAAAAGGCCGGCAAAAGGCCTCCAAGACGGCCCAAGAGCCCTCCAAGACGCCCTCCAGGAAGGCCCGAATAGGTTAAAATCATTGATTTTCCTTAGGTTTTTGAAGGATTTTGGCATGTTCTTCTTTTCAGCTCTCCGACGGCCCCAGACGGCCCATGAGGTCCCCAACATCGCCCCAACAGCACCCAAGAGGCCTCCAAGATGGCCCCATGACGGCCCAAGAGGCCCCCAAGAAGGCCCCAAGAGGGCCTCAAGACGGCCCAAGAGGCCTCCAAGACGCCCAAGATGGCCTCCAAGACGGCCAAGATGGCCCAAGATGGCCTCCAAGATGCCTCCAAGACGGCCAAAATGGCCTCCAAGACGGGTAAGATGGCTCCAAGATGCACCCAAGACGGCCCAAGATGGCCTCAAGATGGTCTAAGACGGCCCAAAAGGCCCGCAAAAGGCCTCCAAGACGGCCCAAGAGCCCTCCAAGACGCCCTCCAGGAAGGCCCGAATAGGTTAAAATCATTGATTTTCCTACGCTGGCGTCCACTACGGCCACGATAAACCCAAGTGAGGCCACAGAGAGGCCCCCAACCCAGCCCAGACGGCGTCAGGCAGAACAGGAAGGCCGCAAGGCATCCAAAGAGGCCCCCAAGATGCTTCCAAGACCGCACATGTGGCCCAATATAAACCCAGAGTAGCCAAAAAGGCACTCAAGAGACCTCCTCCTCCATTCCCCCCCTTCCTATCTCTCCTCTCCTCCCCGTCCTCCCCCACGTGTTCCCCGAAGGCTGTAAAGACCGATTCGGGGAACATATGGCCCAATAACTTGGCAGACCTCTGGCCACAGCAGTCGGCCGCATCGGCGCTTCCGAAAGGGCAGGGGGCGGCGGTGATTCGCCGTAGGCGTCTTCGATAATGCTCCGTAGATCTACGAACTGGTATACGCATGTGCTGTTCGCAGATTCGACGAGCAAACCGATCAAGGGCTACTTCAATGTTATACTCTGAGTTTGGGGGTCTGATTTGATACGTTTTCGAAGGTGCCAATAGGGTCTGGGCAAACGGCCGCCCATTCGTGGCTGGTCTTTGGGGGGTCTACAACTACTCGTCTGGGAGGGTTGCGACCCCCTTCCTTTTATGACGAAACTTGGAGAATCCGTCGGTCGGAAGACGCGGATACGAGCATCAAGTGGGAATGCGTTGGAAGTCGATTGGGTTGCCGCCCGCCCCCTGGAGAAGAATCAAGAGGACAAACCGCTCGACTCTTGAAGTAGGACGGCGGCTAAAACAGATTGGAATCTGGAAATCCACAAACTTCCTACTTTCTACGACTGGCGTGTATAGAGGCCTCCCAGATGGGGTCCGAGTAGATGGGGTCGGGGGATCGCGCCGCATCGCCGCATCGCCAATGCATCGCCGATGCATCGGCGATGCATCGGCGATGCATTGGCGATGCACCAGGGACGCCCACATGCATCGGCGTCGTCGGCTTAGAGAAAAGCGTGCTCCGCATCGAGCCGCGTCGCCGATGCATCGGCGATGCGGCGCGATCCTCCTGTTTCACCGATGCAGTGGGCCACTGGGGCGGACTGTTGTTACCTCCTGGGGTTGAGGTACCCCCCACCACCGAGATAGTTCCTGCGTTCGCGTGGGCCTTTAGCCCGTTCGGCCAGTTGAAATAATCCCGTCGTCGGTTTGGCCGCTGCGTCGGCCCGTGGTGCTCCGAGAAGGCTCGCTCAAGGCGCTTCGCCCGCTCTCGGCATCCTACACTTTCAGTTTGCCCGCGACGTACGCGGGCCGGGACACACCGGACGCTGGCCTCAGCCATTTCGGGTGCCCATCCTTTGGAGTCGGCAACATGCAGTGGCTTCCACTTCGTCGCCCGTTGGGACGGCGGCTTCTGACCCCCTGTTCACATGGGCGTGGAGACAGTACGGTCGACCGCTTGTCGGCATTGGCGGACAAGGACGTCGGTCAGGCACCGTTCTGGCGCTTGTGTTAGACGTCGGCTACAGTCACAGGAGTGCCTTCGAGATGCGCAAGCCGCACACCGCCTTGGTACCAGGGGCCATCGCGGGCGCTCTCCTTTGTGGTCGGCCATCTCCAGGCTTTGGCCCGAACCCCCCTCAGCGGCGTGCAGTCTGGCCGACGTTCCAAGTGAGTGAGTGGTTTTGGCACCTTCCGCCTGGCAGTCTGGCCCCACCTGCGGGTCCGACCTTTCCGCCCTCCCCACCCTCGCTGACACACGCTCAGCGGCTGGTTCTTCCCATTTGCATCCCTCGCTGGCACATGTTCAGCGTTGTTTATTTTCTGCTGCTGGCACATGCTCAACTGCTTCTTCTTGGCCGGCACTTGTGCTGCGCCGTTAATTATCTGCCTTCCCGTGCGCTGTGTCCCAGCCTCGTTCACACCGCCCTCTGGACTTTTCCTTGCGGGCCGCGAATCAAAAAATCGAGCCGCGTCGCCGATGCATCGGCGATGCGGCGCGATCCTCCTACCCCATCTACTCCGACCCCATCTGGGAGGCCTAGACTTAGGTCGGGCATGTCTCCCTACAGGCGGATTTTGACAGAAGAATGAAAAACAACCGAAAATCATCAAAATAGTGGAACATAGTGGAAGAAATCGCCCCCTGACTTTTTTTGACTATCTTTGGACACTCCTCCTGTAGAGGGACAGGCCCGACTTAAGCCCATAGACGCGAAAACACCTAATTACCTTCGACGACCCGAGTTTCGTCGATGCCCTGCTCGCCCGCCCGCCGTCGCGAGGCCCTTGAGGCCCGGGGCCTCCGGGGCCACCTGCTGTCGAGAAAAACTGAAGGGGCCCACAAACACACAAATACATACACACAAATCCCAGGATCCCTCCCACCTTTGCACGTTTCCTGGATGTTCCTCTTCCCCCCCCCACTTCCCATGTGTTCGCATCTGTTCCTGGGAGTCGACGATGAATTGCGTCTGTGCTTGCAAAAACACCGGTTGTCACATCCCCCTAAAACAACGCGAAGATCGGGACAAAATCGGATCGGGATAACTCGAAATCTCTGAGAATCGGCGGGCTTGGAGGAGGTATTGGGCGCCGCGGCCGCTCCAGAGCGTCCCGGAACGCTCTGAGAGAGCGCTCCGGAACGCTCTGGAGCGATTTATCCCGATCCTAGCCGTTTTAATGCACACAAATACAAATAGGCCCTATATTTCGCGGGCGGGGCCTGCGTGGAGGAGCCGAAGTCCACGGAGGGGCCCCAGGACACGCAAAGAAATGCACACGAATACAAATAGGCCCAGATTTTTTCCCCCTGTTTTCTGGGTGTCGGCCTTCCCCCCCCCCCGCTTCCCATCTTTGTGCACACTTTCGGGGGAATCGACGATTACTTGTGTCTGTGTGTGTTTCCCCCCTCCTGAATCCATACGCATCGGGATCCGAAGCCGAAGCGGATCGGAATCGGCATCGGTCGAGGGGACAGCCACGGGCGCAGGGCCCGGAAGAAGAAAAAAAAAGAAACTGCATAAGCATAACGCATAAACTGCTGGCGCTCCGCGCGGAGTTTCTGGGACCTGCGCCGGCCGCCGGGGGGGCCCAGCGCGGATCCAAGAGATCCGCGCGGAGCGCCAACAGTTTATGTTCATGGTGCTTTTCCTTCTGCGAGGACCAGAGCAGCACATCTCCCTGCGACGTCGCCGCTCGGAGCCAACCCAGCACCCGCGGCGACCAGCCAGCCAACCAACCAAGCAGAGCGCGACTTGGCAGCGGCGCCCATGCGGCACTCCCGCAGGCCAACCCAACCAGCCAGCCAGCGGGAGGGGAAGGCGGGAGGAGCCGCCCGCTGCGTTGCCGCGCACGGCCACGAGCGCCACCTGCCGCGCTGCCGCAGGAGGGGTGTGGGGGGGCGGTCGAGTGTGAGCGGCGCGCGGAGGAGCCCACCCTCGGGCTGACCGAGAGGAGGCTGGCCGCGCGCAGGGAGGGGGGCAGGGCGGGAGGGGGGCAGGCCTGTTGGGAGGAGGCTGCTGCTTGGAGACCGCCGGCCTTCCATCTGCAGACAGGGCCAGCGCCCTCCCTCTGCGAATGGCCGAGGAGGGGTCACTCGAAGAAGAACAAGCGGCACGAGCATACCTGTCGCTCGACGGTTCGCGCGGACAGTCGAACATGTGTGTGTGTGTGTGCAGATCTTTCTTATTCGAGTTACGGTCGGGAACTCCTGCTTAGCTTGTCGCGGCGGCGGCCACAGCGCCAGGCTATGACCTGCAAACGGATAGCGTGTCGCTCGGCTCCGCGGGTTGGGAAGCTTCAAAAGGTTCGGGACGTTGACGTTCGGGGGCCAAGACGTGACTAGCGTGTCGCGCCGTGGGCCAGTGACGGAGGCGCGACACGATAATCCAAACGTTCCTGACCTTAGCACAGGGGTGCTTACCGGTGCAAGAAACACTTCGAAACAGACGGTGAACAAAAACACTTTGCATCATCCCCCTTGCGCCCCCGGGCCTAAATATTGAACAAGAGCAGCGCTCCTGGAGAAGCGGGGCTGGACAGATCACGAGCCCATCGTCTCGAACGCAAGACTTGCCCAGGGTGAGGCGGGGAGGGGAGGGGCGAACGTGGTTCCTTCTAATTACTTCGGGCTTTGCTGTTGCACTGCTCCTTCAACCGCAGCAGACTGGCACGCGCAGCGCACCTCCCCGGCGCCCGGCGCCGGAGGCCCACGCGCATCGACGCAAGCGCCCGGCGGCGGGGCCGAAGCCGGCAGCACGCAGCAGCTGCCGCCTGCCTGCGGCTGCCGAGGCCGTTCTGGGCCCGGGCGGCCCCGGGCAGCCCCGGAGCGCTCTCGGCGAGGCGCAGCTGCTGGAGTGCGCTCCGAGGCTGGCCAACCTCCGGGGACTCCCGGAAGCGTGCGGGAACGTCTCGGGGGCGTTGCGGAGCGGAGCGTTGTGGGGGTGGGGACGTTGGAGGTCCCGACAGGGTGCGGTGACAGACCGTGCGGTGACCTCGAAATCCTAAGAGACCTCACCGCGCGGTCCGTCACCGCACGGTCCTGACGCCTGAGAGGCCCCAGTCGCGCGAGACGTCCTCGGAGAGCGACCCAAGTGCCCACTGACCTGACTCACCACACGGTGTGGTCACCGCACCTTGCTTCGTTTTGTTCTGGAGAAGCTGATACCCCAACCTCCGTCCTGACTGGGGGGGGGGGGCTTAGGGGGGGGGGCCTGAGGGGGGGGTGGAGGGAGGGAGGGGGGGAGGGGGAGAGCAGGAAGCAGAGGAGGAGGGAGGAGGAGAGAGGAGCAGGAAGAGGAGGAGGAGAAGGAGGAGGAGGAGGAAGCGCCCAGCACATTCAGTACGCCCTCTGATGAACCAGAGCTCGAAAGCAAAGGCGACGACCACGAATAATCCTCCACGAGAAGCACGCCGAGAGGGACGGGCGCCGACGCAGCGCCTGCCACACCCAGAGCCGCTCTCGAAGCCCATGGCGGACAGCATGGAGAAGCCGCGCCCATAGGCACTGCAGAGCCGCTCCTGCGCGGCCACTTGACACGGGGGAAACAGGTCCTGATGGACACGGGCCCTGGGCCCGGGGCTCTTCATCCCGAGTCGTTCTCCGACGCTCCCGCCCGGGGGCCCGTGGACGGCCCCGAGAGCCCGAAGACGGCGAAAAACCTCAGGACCCGTTTCCCCCAAGGAGGGAGGAGGAGGAGGAGGAGGAGGAGGAGGAGGATGGAGGAGGAGGATGGAGAATGAGGATGAGGATGAGGAGGAGGAGGAGGAGGAGGAGGACGAGGAGGAGGAGGAGGAGGAGAAAACCCGCTTCCCCCATGGCCAGTGCGGCCACGCGGCCAGGCGCGGCGGCCCGAGCGCACGCACTCGGCGGTCGCCGCGGCGCGCTCGTTTGAGCAGGGGCCGACCGTCCCGGCATTCCGATAGTCCTACCACGAAATATTCGTAGAGCCCAAAAATGTTCTAAGAACCAAAGCAGTGTTCGTAGAACATAAACCCGATGCGATGATACAAGACAGACTCCGCCAGGAATGGTCTCGGAACAGTTCGTGAGAACCACAAACGGTGCAACGCAGGGCCTCTGTGGTCCCTCAGGGCCAGCGCCCCAGCAGCGCTTCTCCGCGG